ATTTCACGATTCCTTTTCTTCCTGTAAGAACTGTCATTGACATTTTGTAGGGGTTTGTAGGTCTGTATAGTATGGGCATTTTAACAGTAGTCATTAATCCCACCAGCACAGAAAATGTCTCCATTTATTTGTGTCATCTTCAGAGTTGATTATCAACATTTACAGTCTTGAGAAAGCATTTGTCTGTCTCAATGGATAGGAAAAGTTTTCACAAGACACAGTGAGTACTTCATTTTCTTTGTTGACACATACCACATTAACACACACATGCAAATAACACAAAAACACACACACAGGGACTATTATATATTGAAACATGATCTTCTGCCCTTAGATATCTTAAATATTTTCTCTATGAATTTCTCCCTTCTCCCTGTTCCCTTCCTTCCTTCCTTCCTTCCCTCCCTTCATTCTTTCCTTTCTGTTTTCATTTTTGGTGGTGTGAGGGTGGGAATCTGGAGCCTTGGGCCTCCTAGGTAATTGTTCTACCACTAAGCCACACCCAGGCTGTAGCATGCATTTCTTAAGTGCAATGGCATTCTTGTACCTAACCATAGAAAATTCAATACTGCTGTAATGCTATTAAATAATGGAGTCTGTTTCAAGTTTCATCATTTGCCCCAATCATACATGTCATAACTTTTTTGTCAGTTTGATACAATTCAAGTTCACCCATTGCATTGTTCATCTTTGATTTCATGCCCCTTCCCTCCTTCAGCTCTCTCTTCCCCTCTGCCTCTTCCCTTCCCTTCTTTTTCCCATCCCCTTCTTCCTTCTTCTCCCTCCTCCCTGCCCTCCTTCTCTTGCTCTTCCCTTCCTGTCCTCCCTAGGACAGTGACATTCTGGGAATGTAGGTCAGTTTGGTAAAATGTTCAGCTTGGGTTTGTTGTTTCCTTGTGGTTGGATTGCATAACGCTTTTTATTTTTAATCTTATTTGTCTTTTGAAGTCATTTCAAACTCAACAAAAGCTTTCAGAGTTACATTGCATCTTGTTACTTTTTGTAAGTTTGAAGTTACTGTTAGCCAGATTTACCAGTTTTTGACACTTTGCCTAGATCCGCAATTCATTTTCATTCATATTCTTTCTGTTTCTTCTCCCCTTCTCTTTCTCCCCTTCTCTTCCCTCCCCCATAGCCCCCTCTCTCTTTCTTCAGTAGAATTCGAGTTTTTATGTTTTGAACAGCTGACAGAATGTGGGTTACCCTTAAGTGACAACTTTGGAGAAGGTTCTGTGGGCCAGGAGCTGACCACCAGAGGGTCAGCGTGTGCAGACAGGAAACCAGTGTGGACAGGAAGTGCCTGTGAGGAGCCCGCAGTTGGGACTAACCAGAAGAAGGAAGGGCAGTTAGAACTCACCACTTAGCACACTTAAGAACCGGGACTTAGCCCCACCAGCAGAACCCCAGCTGGGAGTGGTACATGCCTGTAACCACGGGATTCGGAGGTAGGAGGGTCAGGCTTTGAAGGTCAGCCCTGGTGAAAAGTGAGTTTGAAAGCTGCACTCTATCAGACCCCGGGGGAGTGGAAGAATGAAAACAAAGCAAAGCAGAATGCAAATAAATTTTAAAAAGAGGAGGAAACAAAACATAGAAAGTGTTTATAAAAAGGGTCTGCCAGTACCACTTGTTTTCTAGAAAAAATAATTCTAGGGTAGTTCAAAGGAGAAGGGCAAGATGATCCACGTGGTAGACATCTTGGCCTACCAGCTGGTGAAGACTGGAGAAAGGGGACTGGGTGGGGGATGTGTTTGATTTCCTCCTGTGTGCTGCCCATTTTGCAGGTGATATCTTGTTCAGTTATCACAAGCAACAGAGTAAGTTACTCGGCCAGGAACAATCATAGTAAGTTTGTGATGCTATTAATATGCCAACCCGCTCTGAAATCCAGTGGGTTAAGAAACGGCAGCATTAGTTTCTAGAAGCATCTCTGTCAGGCTCTGACAGGACGTGGTGGAGCCATTTTGGGCTGCAGCCTGGGTGTGACAGTTCCTGTTCCCACCTGGGGCTACTGGCTGGTTTGTTGGCAGTGTTAACTGAGGTTGGGGCACTGGAGAAGGGATCTGCACGGGTAGATGGAAGGATTATTGTGTCCATGATCTCCGTAGACTTGACCTGAACACCTGGATTTGTGTAAACAGGACAAGATACTTGGGCAGTGTGGTTCAAGAGCTCTTGACTGCTGGTATCACAGTTATATTCACCTAGCCAGGGCAAAACGGGGGGATGGCTCAATGGAAGTGGGAGGCCGGGCATGGTGACACACACCTGTCGTCCTTGCACGGGAGAGGTTGAGGCAGGAGCGGCCCTAAGGGACACCCTTGGTTACAGTAGAATGAAGCCTTTTCTCAGGCCTGGGATCTGCCATGTAGACCAGGCTGGCCTCAAACTCAGAGATCCTTCTGCCTCTGCCTGCCTCTGGGTGTCCCGGCACATCGGGCATATGGATGCTTTTATTCCTTAGCTCCACATTGGTCCAGCGTCAACTCAGCTCCCACCCCCTTTCTCTTAACATTCACAAACAATTGACTTCACGTGTGGGGGTGTTTTGCCTGCATGTATGTATGCCTACTACAACATATGCCTGGCGCTCACAGAGGCCAGAATGGGGCACCGGATCCCCTGGAACTGGAGTTACGGATGGTTGTGAGCTACCACGTGGGTGCTGGGAATCGAACCTTAGTCCATTGCTCTTAACTACTGAGCCAGCCTATCTAGCCTCCCGTCCCCTTTTGTCTTGATTTTTCTCCCAACAGCCTCACACACAGCATTTGTACCTGTGACAGATACTAATGAAGATGTGGGCGATATTATATCCTTAGCAACACAAATAACTTGAAGTCCAAAAATAAATGTTGCTATTTTAAACAGCCATCACTGGGACTCTTTCCCCAAGCTGCAACCTCCCCCCTGCTGTTATCTGAGCTTCATCTCACTTTACCTCCAGGATCCGTATTCTTGGCCCCTTTCTAGTGTGCTCTTTTAGCCGTGTCTGTTTCACATGTCATCCTAAGCCACGGTTTCTCCATCCATCCTCTGAGTGGTGTCTTTGCCTCCCTCAGAGGAACCCTGACACCGGCTGTAATACTATTATTTTTTTATTCTGGTTCTTACGCATAACTGTAAAGGTGAAATGGCAGTATTTAAAAGCTATCCCACCTGCCGCCTTCTGTTTTTCTGGTGAAACATGAGGTTTGTGGAGCTCCTCTGTGGAGCTAGATGTGGGTACTGTGATGATGTCACAGCTGGGGTCGGAGAGCTGGTTAACAGAAGTGTACCAAATTTCTAAAACTTCGCAAGATGCCGTAGTCACGTGGACTGACGCCTCCCACAAAGCCTGCAAACTTGTGGAACTGATTTGCTGCTGGGGACGGAAGATTTTTTTCACTGAGCACAGGGGTCAACATGAAGAACTGAAGCAGCAACGAACGACAAGGGGGTTGGATTAAGCAAACTGAAGCCTGGGTAACGGAGATGATCCCCTCTTTTCCTCTGAGCTTCTGCTGGTGATGCCGGGGATAATAAGCACCCAGTGCTCCCTGACAAATTATCCCAAGCATGGTTTTAAACGTCAGTGTTTATTGTCTCATGGTTTCAGAAGGTTAGGGATTCAGGAATTCATGGCTTGGGTCTCTGATGAGGTCATCACATCTATAGTCTGGACTTGGGCTGGCTGGTCAGCTCTGGGCCCCAGCAGGAAGCCTTGGTTCTTAAGACTCTCTCCGTGGCATGCTTTTGACCTCATGGTTAGGCCTTTTTTGTTTTGTTAAGTTTTGTTTCAAACATTTGGGATTTTGTGTATATGTTGAGCGTGTGCGTCATGGTGTATACATAGAGCAGAGGACAACTCGTGGGAATGGGTTATCTCCTTCCGTGTGGGTCCTGGAGACTGAATTCAAGTCATCAGGCTTGGGCAAGGTACCTCTATCTGCTGGCCTCTCATGCCAGCCCCTGATGGTGAGTTTTTATGAGCAGTCAAGGGGGAACCTGAGAGACCTCACACCACTAAATCTTGGGGATGACACAGGATCATTTTGGTTCTATTTGTCACACCAATAATCCTTGGTTATAGTGTAGAGGAGACTACACTAGACTGTAAATGGCAGCCTGCAGTGGTCCCTGAGGGCTTTTGTAGTCTAGGTACCAAAGGAGTGTTTATAGTGATGTCTGCTGTTCGTGCTTGGGTGTGTCTCTCTTACCTTAACATGCCAAGGAGGAGTGTAACTGGGCAGACTATGAGTTACTACACTCCTAGGCTCTATGGATTAGTATGTTCAAAACTGATATAAATAAGAATGTCATAGTATTTTGTCAAGTAAGGAAGATAACAATTGTCATCAACTACCAGGCTCACTCCATGAAAGCACATTTTGACATTAAAAGGGGAAGGACATAGTCTTAGAAGGAAAGACATCCTCTTAATTAAACAGCCCACTTTATTTAAAACTTACTAACTAATGGGGTTGGAGAAATGGCTCAGTGGTTAAGAGCACTTGCTGCTGCTCTTACAGAGGACCCAGATTCAGTTTGCAGAACCCACGGCAACTCACAACCCATCTGTAAGCTCATTTCCAGGGGATCTGATGCCCTCTTCTGGCCTCTGTGGGCACTGCACACATGTGGTGCACATATATACATAAGGCAAATAATCAGACACATAAAAAAAAAAAAAAAAAAAAAAAGCCATACTAACTTGTCCTTGCCTTTCTCATGTATCTGTGAGTGGTGAAAACTTCATCCTATTTTGGTTCACAAACTGTCATTGGAAACTACCCGGTAGCTTTTAAGATGACTGAGAATCACGTGGTAAAAGCGAAACAAGCAAACAAGACCTTAAGGTGGTTGGCATATGCAGAGAGAGCAATCAACATATACCCATGACCTGGAAGCACTGCTTAAACCTGAATCAAATGATATATCACTGTTTCAGCATATTTACCTTTCCTGTTCCTGTGAGAAAATCCCTGGTAAGCCCTTTCACCGGTAAATTGGTTTTATCCCAGCGCACAGTTCAAGGCACAGTCCGTCATGGCAGAGAAGTCAAGGCAGCTGGAGTGTGAAGCAGCTGGCGTGGCATCCAGTCAGGAAACAGGAGCCTGAATGCTTTGCAGGCCTGTGCTCAGCCCTCTCTCTCCACTTGCAGCAGTGGAGGATCCCCTGCCCAGGGAACTGTCCTGCTCACGTTAAGGTGAGTCATTCCTCAACAGGAAACTCAGTCAAGAGGGTGCTCCATGTATCAGAAGCTCATTTTCCAGGCAATTCTAGACTCTGTCAAATTGACAACACGCATCATCACCATTATAGATGTAAATAACACATATGAACAACAATACATGATGGCTTTTAACAGAGTTCCCATATGTATGTGTCGCATGAAGTTGATGTACTTCTGCTTCTATTACATCATTTCTCTCAAGGGTTTTGCTTCTGAGTGCTCTCCTCATCGCCTTAGTTGATAAGCTACTCTTTTTTTATTTTTATTTTATGTATATTTAGTGTGAAGTATCAGATTCCTTGAAATTGGCATTACAGACAGTTGTGAGCTGCCATGTGGGTGCTGGGAATTGAACCCAGGTCCTTTGGAAGAGCAGACATTGCTCTTAACTACTGAGCCATCTCCCCAGCCCCGATAAGCTCCTCTTAATAACATGATGTAATTATGCACATCTGAGAACAGTCTCTGTCAGAGATGCATTGTGGATAATTATATTTCTGTTCCTCAAGCTGGTGACTTCATTGAAATTTGGTCACATATGGTCCGGAGGTAGTCACGAAAACGTGACCATATTTCTGGTTGGTGGTTTGGGTTGGAGGAGGGATGGGGATTCTTTTGTTCTGATAGTTACTTGGCTCCTACATAGTCACGTTCCCACCACTGAGACTGAGAATTAATGTTAGCAATATTGATGAAAATAGAAATTTTCTCCAGCAAAATCTTGCTGCAAGCCTTTATGAAACTACTTTAAAACTTACATATTTTTTTTTTCTTTCTGAAATTCTGGTTGGTAGAAACTATTAACTTTTGCCCCTCAGATAGAAGCTCCAGATGTTAACAAGTGACTCATCCTTTCGAAGCGGTGTGATTGCTTTTGGAAACTGCACATTGAACTTTGATTTTATAGCCACACTGGCTAAGAAAATCGCTGACGGGGCAGGAGAGCTGCTCAGTGGTTTGAAGAACGTGTTGCTCTTACAGAGGACCCGAGTTCTATTCCCAGCGCATCAGACGCTCACAACCACCGGTAACTCCAGGTATCCTATTCCCTTCTCTGGCCTCTGTTAATTCACTGAGTGAATTAACCACACCTTAGGGTGGATTCACATCTGGGAACAGGTGGCTAACACAAAAGGAACTCAATAGAGTTTTTGTAGACTTTGTCTCTCGTGGCTTCGTGTGGGCATGTTTTGCCTTATTGATCTTTTGCTTGTATATTTTGTTCTCTCTGTGTGTGCATGCACGCATATATGAATGCTGCTTTGTTTTTGTTGTCGTCACTTTTTTTTTTTTTTTTTTAGGAAGAGGATGTGCCGTTGGGTGGGTGGTCAGGGTCAGGGTGGAGTTCAAAGGGGTGAAAAGGGATCAGAATATATCGCATGAAAACTTCTCTTAAATTAAAACACAAACAGAACAAAAGCTCTGTGACATTTTGCCAACTGGTAGGCCTTTTCCTCACAAGATGTTTGTTGGTGAAAGGTATCAAGCGGTTGGATTTTTAATTCGGTGGATGAGAACTTTCTAATGTTAGAGAACAGGCTTAGAGTGTACAAATGTGGGCTAGAATTCAGCCACCTCCCTGCCTCCTTTTTCCTTTTCACTGGTTAGAGCTGGAGAGGAACCTTGGGTCTTGCCGGTATTGGGCAAGCTCTGCCTCTGAGCTGTCCAGCCCCACTACAGTGACTGTTATTTGTTCAATTCAGGTTAGACGCCTTAATGCAGGTAACAGATTTAAGTTAAATGGAAGGAAGCTACTACAAAACTTATTCTTTTTTTCATAGCCACAAGGCAATACTATGACATAATGTTAATGACTTAACAAAATAGTGTTTGTGATTTGTGTGTGTCTATGTGTGTGTGTTTTGCAGTTCTGAGGACTATACCCAGAGCCTCCCACTTCCCCTGGCAAAGTGTTTTACTAGCCATGCCCCACCCCGATCTACAAATAGGTTTGTTTTTGTCTTTAAACAATAAAATGTGCTTTGGCTGGAAGCTGACGTTAACTTGGTGTTCTTGCCATAAATTATCTGCTCACCACCCCAAATGCTCCACCAACGTTGGCAGACAAAGCCAGCCACTTTTAAAACGTAACATCAAAGCCGGGCCTTTGAGAGGGCGCCACTTAGCAGTGTGATGAGTGCGGCCCTGTGGAGCTGGGAGACTAACCTTTTCACTCGTTGGTGCTGACAGGCTGGGGAAGACAAGAGTGACCGTGGAGGCCTAATCTAGAAATTGCTGTGCACTGTTCTAATTGTAAGCCACAAAACTGCAGTCACTTACATATAAAAAAAAAAAACTTCCACGGTGGCTTTCAGCATTTTTTAAAAAATCTGAGTATTACAGATATAACAAGCGCTTATCTGACTTAAACTCATCAACAAAACAAAATAAAACAAACAAAACCCTGCTCTTTGAAGGTTGGCAGGGTCACCAATGGTGCCTTTGCTGAGTGGCTTGTGGGTGTGGCCGCTGTACTCGTGAGAAGTGACTGGCGGTGTCTCCTTCCCTAAGGCTTGAGGCTTTCGGGTATCAGTTTCTCACCTATAGGACTGACATTCAGGATTCTCTTGGGTCCTCACCACTTGGGGAAGAAGAACTCACCAGCAAGGACTCCCTAAGAGAACATTTTTTATAAGATCTGCAAATACTTTTCCTGGTGAAAGAACACAGCTTTGTGACTTAAATACATATACATGGGGGCTGGAGAGACCACTCAGAGGTTGAGAGTGCTGGCTGCTCTTCCAGAGGTCATGACTTCAATTCCCAGCAACCACATGGTGGCTCACAACCATCTATAATGAAATCTGGTGCCCTCTTCTGGCGTGCAGGTATACATGCAAACACACATTGTATACATAATAAAGAAAACTTTCAAATATATATATATATATGTATATATATATATATATATACACATATATTTCTTGGTATATATATTTTTAAAAGATTTATTTATTTTATGTGAGTGTTCTATCTGCATGTACACCTGCTTGCCTGAAGAGGGCACCAGATCACATTAGAGATGGTTATGAGCCACCCTGTGGTTGCTGGGAATTGAACTCAGATCTCTGTAGAGCAGTCAGTGCTCTTAACCTCTGGGCCATCTCTCCAGCTCCTAATATATATACATATATAGCCAGGTGCAGTGGCACACGCCTGTAACTCCAGCACTCAAGGAGGCAGAGGTGGGTGGATCTCTGTGAGTTTGAGGCCAGCCTGGTCTAGAAAGCAAGTCCAGGTCAACAAAGGTTACACAGAAAAACCCTGTCTTGAAAAAAAACTATATATATATATATGTGTGTGTGTATAGTATGTATATATGTATACACACATAATGTATATAGTATGTATATACACATTATATGTACATATATACATACATACAATATACATATATATATATATATATATATACACGTGTATATATGTTCACCTTGCATCTGTTAGCCGACTTCTTCTCTAAGCATCTTCTCAAGCATCTTAGAGAGTCTAACACCTGGCACGACCACTTCCTAGGTATGAGATCCGAACCAGTAAGCTAAGTTCTCTGGGCTTCCATTTCCTCATTTGGGAAGTAGGAATAGTCACACCATGCTGACAGTGTTGTGTTGTTCAAGCATTAAATAAGATGAGTCTGACAAGTGCTCAGAGGTGTACCAGCATGCAACTACCACTCAGTTGCAGGAGAGTGTATTAGCTGTGATGCGCTTGGTTGCTAGGCACAGAAGGCTCTTCACGTTGATGTAAATAAATGACTTGAAGGTTTTCTTGGTAATAACTCAAGCAATTGCATCCAGCCGCCATGACAGCTAGGATAGGTGGAGAATCCCGGAACTGAAGGAACTGAACGGTGACAGCCTCGGAGAGGGCTCCTTCCATCTCTCATGGGCCTGTCTACTTCCCTCCGAGTGCTGGCTCTGGTTTGCTCTCTGCAGCCCGGCTTTCTTGGTGAACTGCTGTACAAGTGTCTAGAAACACCCCCTAAGTCTACGTAAGGTGTTGCATGAGCAGTCCCTGGCATGGGACTTCTTCCCAGCACGCTGCCACCACCTTTCCAAGCCAGAAGGGATGAGGCTGCGCAGTATGGTGGCCCTTCCCCAGGGCTGCTGGAATGGGCTGACAACCGGCAGTTCTGGGGTAACCGCATGGCAGCATCCTAATTATGCGTTAAAAGCATCATTCAGGGTGATATATGTTAGCAAAAGGCTTCACGTGGGAAGTGAGCAGCTGGATGAATTTTGACAAATTTGAAAACACCTATGCCCAGAGGGCACCCTAACAACCCACACTGCAGCGGCCTGCCTAACCGTCTCTCCGCTCTGAATGAACATGTTAGCTTGCGCGTGTTTTCACACTTCAGTTGGGGAACATAAACTTTACATTTGTTTTGTGTCTGGATCCTTTCCTTCTTCTAAAAATTGACTTCTCTCTTAGGTGTCTGAGCGTTCCACCTCCGTGTGTGTTTACGCCTGGTGTGTGTGCCTAGCGCCTATGGGGGTCAGAAGCGTGGGGAAGCCTTTAGAAGTGGGGTTACATGGGGGTTGTTGGAACTCACGCTGTAGGTGCTGGGAGCTGAAGCCAGGCCCTCTGCAACAGCAGCCAGTGCTTACCTGCTGTGCCATCTCTGCAGCCCCAGGTCCTTCTCCTTAATTGTGTAGACCCACAGAATTCACACCGGCATCTGATGCTGATCTTCGAGTGATCGCTCCTGTTGCCGTATGAACACGTCATGTTTTATGTGGTCTGCTGCTGCTGCTGGCCATTTGGGGAGTTTTCTATTTTTGGTAAATTTTTTTAAAGCAATGTCTCTGATATCCCAGGTTAGACGGTACTGCCTGCACCTCTCCATTGTGAGATTACAGGCCTGCACCACCACACCCAGTCTCCGTGTGCTAGACAAGTGTGCTAGACCAACTGAGCTGTAAGCATTCTACCAACTGAGCTACTTCCTAGCTATAGGCCCCCAATGTCTTTTTTTTTTTTTTTCTCCAAGACAGGGTTACTCTGTGTAGCCTTGGCTGTCCTGGATTCACTTTGTAGACCAGGCTAGCCTTGAACTCACATAGATCCGCCTGTCTTTGCCTCTCCAAGTGCTGAGATTGCAGGCGTGTGCCACCCCCCCCCCCCGCTTGTTTATTCTTTGTATCAATTCTGTGAACTTCTGTTGAACTTGTTCTCCTTGATGGTGACTGTTTACCCCCAGAGGCTTATGGCATATGTATTAATTATCTCCATCCTGCGTAGTTGGACTGATGGTCTCCGAGGAGAGTGCTGTTAGACTGGGAGCATCTTTTCTTCAGGTGACTGTCAGAGTCACACTGGGTGACTCTGATAAGTATTCACCTATTCAACTTGCCAGATGTATAAATACAGGTGTATAAGTGAGAGAAAGGTACGTGTGCCTAAGTCCTTAGGACATAAGCTCTTTTTACAGGTGTGTTTGGGGTGATCTGTTGCCCAGGCTAAGTTGATTTAAGGGTGGACATGTGATCCAAATTAACACAATCACATTTGTCTTTTTGGAATTTAAAATTAGGAACTATTAGAGGCAGAACAGTGCTGGCAAACCCTGGGTCACTGTTGGGGACCAGAGGCACAATGGATCCTCTTTTTCCTAATTTTCTATCCTAATTCCTTAGGACAGACAGGGACCCCTTTATGTGATTCTTAAATCACAATGCAAACCTATTTCTCTCTTATTTTTTCCCTCCTGAGACAGGGTTTCTCTGTGTTGCCTTGGCTGTCCTGGAACTAGATCTGTAGACTAGGCTAGCCTCGAACTCACAAAGATCCCCACCACCACCACCACCACCTCTGCTTCCTGAGAGCTGGGACTAAAGGCGTGAATCACCACTGCTGGCGCAAATCAATTTCTGATTAAGTTCCAAATGCAAAGTAGAGACAATTAGGGCTGTTAAAGCTCTACCTGTGGTGAGGTCAGAGAGAGCTCCCTTTGTTGTGGATTGTCACTTCAGCTCCTTTCTGGAAGAAAGAAAACACTGAATATGATTATGTTTTTTGAGCCAGAAATTTTGGT